TTTAATATTTGCGGTAATTTATTTTGCAATAATGCTATCCGGTGCCCAAAATATTATTTAATCGTTTAAATTGTTCATGAAAAGTACCAACGAGGTTTAATTAACAAGTGTCTTGTATAAATCGATCGAATTGTTTAAGTTATTATACCGAATCGCTTTCGTTAATTAATTTATTATTTCTCTGTTCTTAATATTTGCAATAATTCTGCTTGTTAGAAGTATGTTTAAGAAGCACACTGGCTATTTTGCCGTTTAATTTGCTCGCGAAGATAAGTGATAGAGTCAGGAGTATGAAGTAATTTCTCGAGCACGAGTGTTTCGCGAAATTGTTGCAGTTGACGAGTTTCGTTAACAAATTAATTGCTTTTCGATGTTTAATATTAACGAGAATTCTTATTGTAAATGGTATTATTAAATACTCCCGTGGCTATGTCATAACGAAAGTAATTAATAACGTCAAACGTACAATGCGATTTTTAAACTACGAATTTATCGAAGAATCCTTGCATCGAGATTATTCTATCGATACATTTATTAATAATAATTATAAGAATTTCTTTTCCTAGCATTCTCTTGTCTGTTTTACTATCTTATGTTTAAACGAAATTAACTAATACAACTCGAGATAATGAAAAACTTTCGAAGCATAAATATCAGGTAATCCACTTTCACGTGGATGTTAGTCATATACCAAGTACGAGCAAACATCTGCGAAAAAATCATGTTTTTCCTTACTTTAATAGAATTTTGACAAATAAATCAAAAACTGTTCTCAAGATTTATTTTCAAAAGTCTCAGAGTCAAGAATGATTATTTTTGTAATATTTTTAGTGAAAATTTCATTGCAGTACCTCCAATGGTTCAAAAGTTATAAGAAAATGTCACCGCGTTTCTCGATCCGGAGAATATTTCTATATTTGAATTTTCTTTCTCATTCCTGATAGAAAACGCCGGTGTCCCCATCTCGTATTTATCAAGCACCTACACATCTCTAGATAATACCATTTATGTAACGAAATCTGCACAGCAGGTAACGACCCGTTGAATCCGTAAAGTCACGTGACTACTCTAGTCCCTTTAGTACATTTTTCCAAAAATAGTTATACACAGCATCGTACAAACTGAAACAAGCAACATAATGGTGTACATAACATAATTTCGAAAAATGTACTTAATATATTCTGATATAGGGGAAACATCGGGGCACATGCTCTATCGGATACGGATGTGCAGCCATATTGAATTTTAGTTCCTACAAATTTGTAATACGCATAGGTGGCAGCTAAAACGATGCTTCAAACATTGCTTATAGAGTTGTTCTCCCCTGTCATAGACTATATAATAATAAAATAACCTCGGCAATTCATTGGCCGATGGATTCGAATCCTATTCGCGAGGTCTCCTCTCTGCCAATTGAAACAGAATCCGAACAGACCTATCTTTGTGAGCTTAAACCATTTCTTACACTGTCTTACACCGTGGCTTAGACTGTACGTACAATCCTAATTTGACAACAGTAGTAAGTACTGTCTGCTCCTATCAATATGGCCGACGTATCCAACGCCTGTCCTCGCATTCGCTTCACATCCCGCGTCTTAAAGTCCAATTTATGGTCACCCCTTCAGATCCATGTTAGATCAGTCATGGTAAGCAATAGTAAGTCCCCATAGTAAGCAATTCTGCTTCACCATAGCAAGCATTTTTATCTCAATCATTTTAACGCGCATCCAAGCCCGCGCAGTTGCTTTAGAAGGAGAACGGAGATGATCGAGAGAGACAGAACGAAATCAGCGGGTTCTATGTGTGTGCCCACGCGGACGAGAAATTAAGATCTTACGCCTGGTACGGGCCGAAAAGTACAAGTTGAATGTCGCGCCAAGTGTTTTGAACGGAGCTCCAAGCAAATTGATGCGCGAATAGCGTGAGATCGCAAGCATGGTAAATTGAGACAAGCTACATTGGTCGCCGGTGCGACTTGTTTCGCTCGTGGTTGCGCTGTTGCCATGCTCTCTCGCTCGCTCACCACTTCCTCTCTTTGTCTAAAACTGTGAGGGCAGCAGTAGCAGTTTAACCGTGAAGCGTCAACCAATCAGAGGAGAAGCAGTTTCTCTGCACGGTTCATAATTCCAAGCCGGTTGCCTCCGCGTCGGCTTACTACGATGAGTCACTACTGTAGGTACACAGATGGCCTAGACCATGGACCTAAGAATATGCGTCATTGCCATAATAGAATTACATGTTTCGCATCATCCTATTCCTCTTCTGTAATTCCATCGGTTTCTATGATCGAATGGACGCGACCCTCTGGTGGCGAGAATCTGTAACTACGTCACGACTTACCGACCGATACAAAGCGTTTTGTCTCGTCGCCTCGTACCGAGTGGTAATTCTACCAGCACGTTATCCAGTGATTAAACTATTTATGTTAGACTTCCTGCTTCGAGTGTTTAGGATGCGTGCCGTTCGTACGTTACTCGGTAACCGTGATTACGCGAATCTACGAACGTTACCAAAGGTAAATATCCTACACGTTCCATTATAAACGTGAACGACTGCCGACACTCAGAGTAGATTCTATAGTGAAAATTCACGTGCGACATTTGGAATCGAAGCAATTCGGAGCAATGGATTTAATTGGATGACAGTCGGCGAATAAAAGTCACTATACCAGAGGTACGTGTTCGTCGACGATCGATGATCGTGTGGTAAATTTTTGTAGATTTTCTGACGGATCGATAGTTACGGATGAATAAATAAAGCGAATAAATCACTCGTTTGTTTTCGTTACTACGTGCATCGCATTGGCACATGTATCAGGTGACGATACTCTTGTTCTACCGTGTGTAGATCATTCGCTGATGTCGTCGCGGCTGTAGTAACAAAGATGGGGTGGTTTGTTCGTTGTAAGGGAAATGGGGATGACAGTCGAAAAGCTTCGATTATAATATTTTTTAATAGGCAGTAATAAGCAGAAATAGGCAGTAATAGGCAGACAGCTCCACTTATTGTGATAATATGAATTAAATCGATGGAAATCATTTAATAACCAAGTACTGTTTCAAAACGTATTTTTTACACCAAAATAGAGAGAATGGTAAATAAATATCCATCTTAACATTTGAGAAAGCAGCATATTTTATTATAGATACTTATTACACGAAATATACTAAACATACAATGCTATCTATGAAAATAGATAATTATCAAATCGTGATACTTATTGTATTAATTTGTATTAATAAATTTGTTTTAATTAATTTGTATATGAAAGGTTCTATTATATTATGGAAATAGTTGAGAAGGAAGATTTCTTGCGATTTTCAAGAACTCTAGATCGAAATCTTTTATGACACGAATCAATTTGTATTTTCAGTTGACATTCGCAGGTACAATTTTAAGAACCGAGAGATGCATGTACGGTTCAATTACTACATATTAATATCGAGATATGCGAATTGTTGCATGATTATACATAATAAGAACGGCGATTCGCGACGGTTTTCGATTTATCCCAGGAATTTCGACAAATAATTAACTGATTTCTAATTGTAGATCTCGGCATCTAATCGATAGAGTTCACACGTCAATCATTCTACGAGTCGGGAAATATGTCTTCCATATTGCAATGGCTCGATCATGGCTAGGATGTTTATTGGGCGTGTTAGTACCGTCAGTGGTATTTTACTTGTATTTATTGTTGAACGGTAATACATTTCGACATTGTTTGGACATTGTCGGACGACCTTTCCGAGGATTCTCAAAGTTTATTATTGTAGTGCCTTCCGCCGAGATTGGTTCCTTCAAGCGTGTTGCGAAGTCCGGCGGCGGCTCGGTGTCCGTGGACGACAGAATGAGATTACGCGTCGAGGAGCCCAGCTTGCAAAAGTTTCGCATAGAAAATAATCAAATCGAGGTAAACATCTTTCAACAATCCGGACAGATCGATGCTTAACCTTTTAGGCACGACGCGCCATTATAGTGGCTTGCTCTAGTAGCTCACTCGCTCATCGTTTGAACTAAATAATCGTCTTCATATGCATTGTTTCACACTTCTTTTGTCTTCACATCGATTTACAACAGTCAACAGGGTGCCCCAAAAATGTCTCGCAATCCGGAAATGGCGGGTTCCTCGGATCATTTGAAGCAACTT